TACAAACAAAATGGAAACTGGCATTGTGTTAGGTGTATGTTTTAGTGGTCTGAGTCTATGTGCACGAATTGACTGTATTGCTTCCAATTCTTCAGCTTATTTTGGGATTGTAAATACTGCACAGCTGCTGACTAATTTACATCCGAGTTTACTGTTTTATTATCATGACCCTACATTTTTTGTATTCAAGTGCTTGGCATACATGCGCATATGTGCACTTTTAACTGTATCGGATTTGTAAACTCGAGTACTTTTACATATGTCGGCCACCTAACATGTAACATAACACGGATAAGTATTAATTGCTATAGTGTTCTTATTATTGTTATTATTTGTTTCTGGTGTAGAAATATATTAATACATTCGAAAGTGCTTTGTCAAAATAACGTATTTGATAGAATAAGCGCACATATAAAATTGATAAATCATAAAAAAAACAAAAAAACATCAGTAATATTTATGATTTGTACACGCGCCTACATGTTGGTAAACAGACTACGGCGAATAATGTATTTTAGTGTCTCAACCCGACGGAATCACGGTTCTTACATCACTTGTATTTCATAATTTTAAAGATTAATATTCGAAAAAAATATGTCAACGAGTTAATAAAACATTTCATACAGAACCACCATTTTTATCACCAACACAGACGGTACTGTTTTGCGGCAGTGATTCTTATTACTCACGCGAGTGTAGGCCAGCATAACACCTAACCACAATTAATATGGTTACTTCAATTAAATATATATATATATATATATATTCTTCCTATTTACGTGTTATTGCCTCCGCCAAGGTTACGTTTTCGGTATCGTTTGTTTGTTGGTTTGTCTGTTGTTTCGTAAATTGTTCAGGAATGGCCTTTAACACAAGGGCGAACTCATTAAATGTTGGTACGGTTACCATGGACACGTCAATTTTGGAAATGATTTTTTATATTCAACTCACAAGGTTACTGGCGGATTTTCATGAAACTGTCACGTGAGGTTACCTTTGATGCTAGGACAAAACCATTAAATATTTTTCGAGATGTGTACCTAGTTACCATGGAATGTTTTTCGGGAATATTTATTTTATTTATAATGCAAAAGATAATTGAGGGTTTCCCGTGAAGTTTTCAGTAGGAGGGGTGAGGTATTCCGCACTGGACGTACCTGGGAGTTGATAGCGTGTCGTCAATGTTAACTGAACTGAAGGATGCGAAACTGTGCGAGTGGACGATGTAATTTGTCAAGGAGAATCCGATGATCTATTGAATCAAAGGTTTTTATAGTTCAATAAAGACACCGAAAGTAAAATATGCTCCATATGCTCTGTTACATCGCTAGGGCGAGTACAGTGTTGTATTTTTTGCGTATACCATAATGTGTTGGCAGGTCATTATTATTGTTATTTCCTACTACTCAAAATAATATTGCTGTAATATAAATATATATCGAACTTCATTTTCCTAATAATTGTTTAATGACAGTGTAACCATCTTCTCAGACTATATTTCTAACCAAACATATTCAATACGATATCCACTATGCATCATACCATTGCCTACCCTCATTTATTGCCCAACACCGATTATGTCATATTTGTTTTAGTTGCCACTATCTATGACATGTGCGTATGACAGTTCAACGCCGAAATACTTTTCAATGTCTGTCATGTGATCATTTGACAGACACTATGAGTTCACTGTCAGGGGGATAATCTCTCTCTCTGGATTCTCCACACTTGCCAGGGGGAAAACTCGTCTCGTCTCTCTATCGCGTCCCCTTGAGGTACCGGATCGGGAAAGTCACTTATACTTTACAGTCAAATAAGACACACACAACGAAATACGGTTCAACTCTCGTCTTAGTCGATCTTTTGGAGCACTCTATAAGACACAGCGCCCTGGGGAAAAGTCCCCAAGACTCTCACAAGGCTGAACCAAGACTCGCCCAAGACTGGACTGCCTCAAGGCTCGCCCCTGGACTGGACTCGACTCTCCAGGACTGCTCTCTCGACTGCGTCCATCGTGGAGTATTCGCCAAGACCAACTCAAACTCTCTTTATTCATTTCCAAAACTCTAACCAATTACAAAACAGTAAAATACTCTAGGGCGTAACCTTCAATCATAAAGCCAATCACACTAAGCACTGAATACGTCATATCTTTTGATTAATCGTTCACTACATTAATAACTATGAATATAAACTGTCAGAATGGCGACGATTATCTCGTAATTAGTTCCAAATCACTGAGCCAAGTTCCGTCCAAAACTTCAAATAGGCCTAAACGATGACAGACATAACACAGCAATTCAGCTAATAATCAACTAATTAAGTCGGTTAACAGATACGCGAAAACAAATTCATGACATCACCTTCACGTTTCTAATATATAGAGGCGTGTTCTTCACAAATAATGCTCTGTATCAACAGACCGTGTTTGCAAATGACAATACGACATAAATACAGTAAACACCATTGGCAAAGTAAGTTCAACAAGAACCGAATTTGAATTAGAGAAGTAGTTCCATTCTGGGAAGAATAATAATAACCACAATTTCTGTTTTTACGAAGGAATGACTTTCAATTGTGAAACATCTATTTTGTTCATTCTAAGTATTCTTAATATCACACGTTTACTGAAATATATGTAGAATCATCTATCTTATGCCGCTATATATTGGTCCTAGTCGTTTGGTACACTATAGCCATTTTTCGAACGTTTTTATTTCAAAAATGTTTCACTTTATATATTCTGATGTTTTCAATGTTATTTATTTAATTTATCTCATGCGTTCAGTTGTGTGTATCATGTTTGGACTACGTGTATCAAGAAGAATCTCAATATTGCTAGTCATGTTGATTGTTCTGTTATATCTGCGGCTCTGGGAATTTGTGATGAAGGTCAAGATCGATTTCACTCGTCCGTTAACGGTGAGACAACTTAATATTTAAAATACACCGTGTGCTTCTCGACCAATCAGAATTCTTCATTGCAGAACTTTATTCGTACTGAAACACAGTGATTTTCATAATTTATATAATTTACAGAAAATGTCGCCAGGTGACCCAGCTTCACCAGATTATGTCAGTGGAATGCTACAGATTGACCAAGGTCCACCCGATGACGTCAGTGATTCAGAAACAGAAATCAGAACTACATCAATACCTATATCATCAATATCACCTACATCACTACCATTAGAGAAAGAAGTAATTTAAATGTTTTGTTAAGATTAATACTGCAGTGTAGTGTAGTGTAGTGTAGTGTAGTGTAGTGTAGTGTAGTGTAGTGTAGTGTGGTGCGGTGCGGTGCAGTGTGGTGCAGTGTAATGCAGTGTAAT